CACACACACACACACACACACACACACACACACACACACACACACACGAAGAATCAGGGGGGTGAGCAGTTATTAGCAGCCATGCTAATGTTAGCAGTCCAGTTCAGGGCAATTCTGTGGGTCTGTTTCTGTAACGTCGTCATTAAAAATTAAAACTTGTCTGAGAGGAAGATGAGTAGTCATCCACTCACAACAAACTAGAACATGAAAACTAAAATGTCAAACTTACACCATTTTAACCAGTTTAACCTAATACCCCTCAGAACATGCACTTCACTCAAACACTATTAACTAAACAATCAAGAAGTTCTCATTAATTAGTTGTTTGGGAAGTTTCCTAGTAGCTGACAGGCCGTATGATGTAAGAATGGGAAAAATAATTCACATATTGAATGAGTTTATAGGATTTGGGGTTGAATTTCACAGAATACCTTAACAAATATTACTATCCCACATCACTCTGACATGCACATGGCAGGAGTTGGCTAATTCAAGAGAGCAATGAGTGATAAAGCTCTGTAAATCAAATTATGAGTACTCAGAATACAGCACGATAACTTGGTTTGAACGTTTACACGCCAGTTCCAATAATTGGAATTCAGCCTTAATCTTGTTCAAATCAAATCTTGTTACCCGAGTGCATGTTAACGCACTGACTGCCTTTCCAAATGGAAGCTTGAGAGTACAGTACGCACAAACAGGCAACAAGCATAACCAGTACTTTTACGAATGCAATTAATCTCAAACTAGTGAAGAATGAAGCAACGACCTCAGAACATCAGATGTTACGATGGCACCATCCTTCTACTTCCATAGGAGGCGGTAATGCATGTTTAACATACAAAATAAAAAAATAGTGTTTGTAAAAAGCATGAACCATCAGTCTGCAATGGGAAGATATTACAGAACATGATTGCAGCCAGATTTGCCAATATTATACATTTTGCTATGATGCAGAGTCGGACCCTGCATTATAGATGACCGCATCCCACTTTGTCGTCCCCCCCGCCCCGCCAGCCTTTTCCCATGAGAACAGAAGTGTATAAAACACCCAGTGAGGACCTGACCATTGGTATGTGGCTCTCATCACCATACTTCCTTGTCTTGGCTTGTCATGGACTCGTTTCTCTCCTGTCTTTGTCTTTCTGCTTCCACGGGGCCTCTTCCCATTCCTCGGCTCTGCCGTTGTATCCATAGGGACTGCAGCTAAACTCCTTCCTGCCAAACTGGATGTGATCTGATGCATTGCTTTGTGCTGGACTACATTGAAATGCAATAAAAATGTCTCAAATAATATGTAAAATTGCTTGTATCATAATGGCTTACTAAGTAAACCAAACAATTCCTTTACTGCGACAACAGGGTCATGCCGCACTCACTT